CAGCACCATCATTGAAGCATGCGCGCCGTCAGAGGCTCGCGGTAAGCCTCGCAGGCACACGGTGACAAATGAAGTCATTTATCTCGTCTCCTGGCAGCGGCAGTCGCGCGGCCAGCCTTCGGCAATCGACTCTGTTCGCCCGCGAGCTCCGCAGCGAAAGTGGAGCTGGCTTTCTGCGAATGAGTGGTGCGGAACAGAACTGTGTTTCACGGTGTTCATTGCGGACGACCGCAGTGTCATATCGCCAGCGGGGGAGGACCAGGTTACTTTGCTCTGTCGATTGGATACATGCCTCGGTGTTTTCATATCTTGTTTTTCAGCGAAACGGACAATGATGGGAAGGTATGTAATTCTAAAAACCTAAAAACGTGTATATGTTACAGGGAGTATGCGATTTCAGTTAGTTTGCAACGACCCTAGGGTGGTTGTAACCTCCCTGAACGATCAGTTTGTTTGCAACGACCCTAGGGACGTTACAAAATAACTGCTCGTTCCGGGACGTTGTAACGAAACTAGGGTCGTTGCAAACTCCCTAGTTAGTATGCAACGAACCTAGGGTTGTTACAAAATAACTAGGGAGTTTAAGAATTCATCGAGTCTCGTTTCACAGGAGGGCCGTCAACAATCTTGTCCAATGAAAATCTTGTTCAATCTAGTTCAGCTTAAGAGAAAAGGAGAACGCAATTTGAACATTCAGCTCAGGAGTATATGTGGTGCCCGGGACAAGGTACTTACGTAACTGTGATAATTTTGGCTGCATTATATCGCCAGCATATGCTTACATGTGGAAAATAGAGTTACTGGGGTAGGTGTGATGGATATCCGTCGCTATCCGTGTGCGGGTTATCCCTCACACTTTTAGGGGTGCGGGTCGGATAAAACCCCTCGTTTTTTCGCGATTATCTCGCGCTAAAAGCGGCCGATCGTGACGAAACAGTTGAGTGTCCTCGAACTTATCTACGTTACTGCAGTTACACATTCCCTATACCTACAGTACATGATCCTGAAACCAATGACCTTTGACCTTTGATCTGATTTCTGAGACCATGGCAGACCGAAATGATTTGCCGTTTATGTTAGCGCACACTAAATTGCGTTTCCAGACTTCTATTGTGATTACATATAAACGTGCCAACATATGAACTGATGGTTGTCCCATGCATCATTATGGGTTTCAAGTTGACTTGTCAGTTGTCGGCCAGGTCAAGGTCATTGACGTTTGGTGACTTCAGGTGACTGTTCCAAATTGTACGATTTTAAGGATTTTTTTAGCTTATTTCGAATCCAGCATTCGTTGAGACATTTGAGAAGTACGTATAGTTGTGGTGCCAATGCAACTTGCTACGAAGCTGTCGCTGGTGGTTTAGGTACAGCTGCTATAAATAGGTGGTGCGGGTGGGACGCCTATAACTACTTGACCCAAACTTAGCCAAACCAGCCTAGCTTAATCCTCGCCCCCTAGTTTTTTTTTCGCGATAGCTCCGAACACGCCAGCAACAGAGAGCTGAAACTAGGCATACCTGACCTTTGATTCAAGCCGGATCTTGTGACACCAACCAAATTTTCAGGTCAGGTCAGGTTACTGATCTATGACGTCACAAGTGGACGGTCCTCAGATGCCGCAACTTCGCAACGCCCTCAGTCCCAGAGGAGCTTTTACAGGGGATGAAACTTACAGAACGTGCATCTCCTATGTAGAAGTCTCACAACTTGTACCTCTAGGATTTTTCCTAAAGATCACATGAGGTCAGGTCGGTCACGTGACCTCAACACTATAAGTCAATTGAGAAAAATGAAAACTGCTATTCTGGCGCCGGGAGCAATCTCAAACTATTGCAAGCACACGGATCGTGATTTCATGCACTCCTTGCAAAAGTTAGAAGCTTCAATTTTGCATTGTTGACGTTGCGTGATTATGACGTCACTAGGGTCATACGAGCTTTTCGTCAATAACTCCCGACCAAACTGAGCTAGCGAGTCGGTCAAGCCACCAATGGACTGAGGAAGACCTGCCGAATCGAATAAAATGCAACATGACCTCTTTTGTTCAATTTCACGACCTAGGGGTCTCTGACCTGACCTTGACCCGAGGTCAACACCTCAAGTTGACCTCATCCGAACAAAAAGTATACCATTCGACACGCCTGAGCAAGGCGAGCACGTTTATGCTAAAATCGCGCTCTGCAACTGTTTTTTTTTAAAGTTATTGATCAAAAACCGAACCCGTGTCTTGGGTCACATGACCCGACCTCAGAGGTCACCAGTTGACCTGAGACCTTAAAATCGGGTACTAGCTGTTGTGTCTCCTAACGGCACACACGCTCGTTTTTTTTCCGCGACGCTCTAAATCCAACGGGGGCGAAAAACGACGAGGGGGTCGTACCAGCCTTCCCCCCGGCCGGCGCGTATGTAGAAAACCAACAGGTCCTGCGGGGTTAACTCTCGCCCTTATTGGTGTTTTGCTAGCTGCAAACGCAAAAGGCGGGGCTAGGTTATTGGTTGACCTTCCAGGTCAGGCCAGTGACTCAAAAGTCGGGAAAATCGGGACCTATGACCTTTAACAGGTCATACTTTGGAGAGTTAGTTGATACGAGGTTTTTTCGGGGCGCTGATCACGAATTTCATGTTAGCTTTGATCACCGATGATGTCTTGATGCTTTTAGGCCAGGTCGGGTCAGGTCAGGTCAGGTCAACCAGTAGGCGTCTTGCTAGCTGTCCATAATAGGTGTCAACCAACACTGACAGCTTCGTGACATTGTAGGAAGGCGCCAAAATTACTTCGTAAATGTTCAAATGGGTGCTAAATTCGAAATCAGCTCGAAAAACTAGCCTAAAAATATATGAGCCCAGAAGTGAACTATGGTCATCAAAGGTCAATGACCTTGACCTGACATTCACGTGACCTTGACACCCACCATAATGCATGGGACCATCATCATTTCACATGGTTGAACGTTTACGATCACAAAAAGACTGGAAACGAGCGGATAATGGCCGTTTTTACGAAGGGCTTCCTGGCGAATGTCCATCTAATTTGAACAAATCTGCACCAAATGTGCACCTTATCTGCACAAAATGTGTACTATAGATGGCCGTCGTGAAATACTCCTGAGCTGAATGTTCAAATTTTGTTCCCCTGCTCTTTTTAAATGAGCTAGATTGAACAAGATTTTCATTGGACAAGATTGTTGACGGCCCTCCTGTGAAACGAGACTCGATGAATTCTTAAACTCCCTAGTTATTTTGTAACAACCCTAGGTTCGTTGCATACTAACTAGGGAGGTTGCAACGACCCTAGTTTCGTTACAACGTCCCGGAATGAGCAGTTATTTTGTAACGTCCCTAGGGTCGTTGCAAACAAACTGATCGTTCAGGGAGGTTACAACCACCCTCGGGTCGTTGCAAACTAACTGAAATCGCATACTCCCTGTAACATATACATTACCGCTCATTTAAAACATATATTTTTGACACCTCTCCTTATCCGAAGCGAATACAGAAGCTAATTTGATCTGACGTTGCTACGACAGTGCGGATGTCACGTCGTAGACGTCAGTCACTGTCCCGCGATAAAAGTCTGATTTCAATATGCTCATAGTTTACGGACTGAGCCAGTATTTTGGGATTTGTGACCTCATTTATAACATAGACGCGTGATGTGCTCCCGATCAATAGCATGACGTCGATGCTGCTACGCGCTCCCGGTGGAAAAGTTTCGTAATTTCTGTTTTGCCGATGCGATCTTTGTTCGTGGGAGACCACACTATTGTCACATTATTAATTGGTTTCCAGGTGGAAGGCTCGGTAGTTATTGCCTTCTGAGGTCGAACGTGTGTTTTGCGAGATATTCTTACATTTGCTTACGTTATTCGACGTTACATACATATCCTCATCCGTTTTTAGCCATCAACTTTAAATCGACGTCCTCAAGAAAATGATTTAAATCTTAGGACTCCGCAGTCTGCGCAACTACTGCGCACTCCTTGGCCCTTGCATGATATTCTTAAAAAATGTCAATCACTCAGCTCTGACTTACATTTGATTATAGCAAGTGTGAGCCTATTCCCGCTTACCCCACTCAATTTCAAACCAATTACCATTCTTACAGCCATGCTGCAAACATGTTTTTGAAATACGCCTGATAAATTTAGTCGACACAAAATCCCATTACATCTCCACGAGTACGACAACTTAAGACGTATTTCAAACAGCATATGAATACTGCGGGAAGCCACGACTCCACAGATCCCCATGCATGGAAAAGTCTCACTACTCAAACTGAAAGAGGATTGTAATGAGGGAAGTTCTGGCTTCACCGAGAACTGAAAGGTCGGACGGTGTGAGGGAAACGGTGACTGATGTGCGTCGGAATTCCATTTGTAGCGGGACTCTCGTTGCAGCCATTACATTGCACTACACCGGAGATGAATAGGGAAGTCGCTTACTCAGAGCACGGTAACACGACGACTCTAAAATGCTATATTGGAGTCAAACACGGAGGGACTACCCGAGTGAGCAAGACGACAAAGAAGCGGATGGTCGAAACACGGACGAACGGGGCTCTCTCGCGGAAGGTTGAGAGCGAGATGAAGGCAGTTGCCCGCGGCAGTGCGAAATCAGGGATGAAAGAGGATATGCAACGCTTCACAAAGCGAATGTAAATGGGATGGCTTTTTAATGAGCTCTCAGGCATAATGCATGACTGAATTATTGAAACAAAAAGAGACTTGATTGCATGTTTCAGTTTCAGGAAAAAATTGTAGGCTGTCCATCGGTTTCTAGTTATACCTTTTCCCTTCTTCCTAAATCCTATCGTGCTATATTTCTTCCCCATTCTGCCCAAAGAACCACAACGCAGCTTAAAATCTACAATACGACTAGCAACTTCCTAGAAGAGCCAGTATATACCCGGATTGATGTTTGAGAAGTAATTGATTTTTTTTATAACACCTCATGCCTCCACAATTCACAAGGTCAACACACAGTCCTCTTTCACCCACCTCCTGGAACATGTGGACGAGCTGGGTGCCCAGGGCGCAGACATCAGTCAGTACCAGCACGGCCAGTCCGCTGCGGATGATCACCTTGTCTGAGGTACTATAGACGGCGTACAGCAGGTTACTCAGACCTGGCGGCGGGCGGAGACATCGGGACATCAGTGGAGGGATATATACAGTGGATATTATTATTGACCAGTGTGACATACCATTGACAGTGGTCAGTGTTCAGTGGCAGGCGACCGGACAGTTATTGGAACCTCAGTGACACAGACGATGGACGGTGGCCGGTGAGGCAGCCAGGTAAAGTAATGACGACAGGTGGCTGTCAGTTTATTGCCGGACTGTCAGGTGAGATCAGAGACTCGATAGCGCAGGACCATCTCTCGACACCACCTCAATAACCACAGCTTATATAGGACGTTTCTTTTCAAAGGACAGCTTAGAACTAACGTCTTGATAGCAAATCAGCGATAAAACGCATTCAACCTATCGCTGCCTTTTGTACAGTCCGCAAGCTCTTAACAATATAAAAATGATGAAGGTTTTGGAGATTCCCTTTGCCTTACAGAATCCAATACAGGCAATACACGCGCGCTGCGTTGGCTATCGCTGATCGCAAGGTACCCAAAACTAGTTCGTGTGCAAACATGCACACGTCAATAATGAACAGGACGTTATGGGCAAACAGCGTGACAATAACAAAGATAACTATCGCATCGGTGTAATGCTACGGGAAAATTACAAGCAGTTTTCAGAACTATACGGACACAGCGCATATCCGTAACAAACACGGTACGCACAAACATATACGGCTTTCAGCTTTTCAGCGCATCGTGCTTTGTGTCACTACCTATACCTATCTATAAGAATCTTGGTCACTACCAAGCGCCCCATGGTGCGTGTATAATGCAGAACGATATGATCATTTAAAAGACCAAACAACATCAGTGGGTAATTTATACGACCCACATTAGACGTTTCCATAATGGCATTCTCAATGATCGTTGACTTGTTTCATTACCATTCACATGGGTTAGAGTTTTGAACCTTTATGCAGCACGCACCAGCCCATGCCTTTTCTACCATACTAGGAAATGGTCGATCACATCTTGCTAGATTGCTGATGTAGGATGCGTCATAATGTTACTTACATATACGAGTATGCTTGATGATACGTACGATTAATATACTTATGTAGCACTCTCCGCGTCTCACCTAGGAGCGTCACGCCGTAGCCCCGGCCGACCAGGCCGAGAGCCGGCAGGTCGGCCTGTCCTGCAGCCAGCAGGTGCAGGTGGGCCGCCCATGCAGGACTGACCACCAGCAGGCCGCCCTGCAGGCCCAGGCCGCAGGTGACCAGCAGGTACCAGCCGAGCAGGCCGCGCGGGAAGCGCACGTACAGGTGCTCGTTATGACCCAGCACCTGGGAGATCTGTGAACGGAGGGGAGAGGGAGTCAGTGTTACGAGAGAGCATGAAGAGAGTGGAGAGGCGGGAGAGAGAGAGAGAGAGAGAGAGAGAGAGAGAGAGAGAGAGAGAGAGAGAGAGAGAGAGAGAGACAGACAGACAGACAGACAGACAGACAGAGACAGAGACAGAGAGAGAAAGAGAGAGAGAGAGAGAGAGAGAGAGAGAGAGAGAGAGAGAGAGAGAGAGAGAGAGAGAGAGAGAGAGAGAGAGAGAGAGAGAGAGAGAGAGAGAGAGAGAGAGAGAGAGAGAGAGAGAGAGAGAGATCGCAGAGACTCCGAATTATGGCTGGTGCTCAGCCATAAATAAAGCAGCAATATCAGACAATGAACGTAAACCATTCAGACAGCAAATTGGACGCCGCACCCAATCTGTTTCAGCACTCAGAGAGACCTGTTATTGAATGCTTAACATCATAACAGATTGTGCATAAATCATTGGGCTCGAGCTCCGAGTCTGATGGAGGTTTCAAATAATAACACTTGAACAAGCATTCAATAAGCCGAACTTTGAAACTAAGATAGCTGATGTTAAATCAAATATACCCTCGTATTTCGAAAACCAAGTGGCAGTTCATCTTTGCAATTCAGGAAGAATAGAATAGAAGTTATTAGTATATAATAAACCATACTAAACAAAGGCAGAGTCCTCGTAGCATAAAAGACTGTCAGTAGAATCACATGAAGATTTAATATCCCACGATGCAGTCACAGGTAATATGCACACATCGAACAGCCCTGGTGAATAAGAACAGCCTGCACTGGTTCTGAAAGCATCTTCAGCTCACAGGAAGATTCGGGTCTCGTGGTGGAGAGAAGCCCTCTTGATCAGGTTCGGGCTTCACTAAATGAAACTAATCAGGGACATTCAGGCGGCCCAGAAATCAATCAAGACTTTGGTTGCTAGGAGGTGGGCAAAGCCGCAAATGTGATATGAGAATGCCGTAAAGGGATGATAAGGTCTCTTCGAATGAGTGTTACATGCACAACGTTAATGGCGCTAGCAGCGTGGAATGATCAGTAAGACGGTTCAATGATCCATTACATTCAATGTCCATCTGTCAGGTCGCAAATACTGCGGCAATTTCGAGCTCTCGCAATTGATGGTGTTCTGCTGTGACCCCTCATATTGTTTAACCAGTCACATAACACCGACAACAACTTAGAACGCGAAACTAGGGCAAACCCAAGACTGCCAAACAAGTTTCATTGCACTGTAGGTAAAACTTTGCAAAATACACACTAAGATTCGCTGTGTAGTTTGTGAACAAAACACAACAAAACATGAGAAAACAGCAGGCCTCGCTCAAAACAGTTTCTATCGTGGGCAGGAAATACCTTAATTTCCGGCCAGCTACGCTGATATTTCAAAACACTCATTCAATACAGCTTTCAGATCCCAGGCCTGACCCAAGAAGCTCCCAGCACTATCATCAGCAGAACCGACATCTCCCGGGCTCGGCTCTCTGGAAAATGATGGTGGTCGGGCTGGCCAACCGTGACCCGGGAGCACGCCCGCCCGGGTACCTCCCGTCACGCCTCTGATGCGCTTCAGACTACCACTCTCGGGGGATTGTTCATCGGTCCATCGCTTCTACTACGTCCAACGTTTCCACCACTCTCCGGGGTAGATCAGTCCACCATGTCTAGTGTAGTGCCTACCTATTCCATCGCGTCGACCGCGTCCACGGCGTCCAACGCTTCCACCCATCTCTGAGATAGCCCACCGGTCTACCGGTCCACTTCGTCTCCACCGCTTCCTCCACCCATCTCTGAGATAGCCCACCGGTCCACCGGTCCACTGCGTCCACATCTCCCCCAGAGCGGCTCACCGGCGCGGCGGTCCGACAGATTTGAATCGATGGCGGGTGCCGGCGGCAGCGACCGCCGCTATTTTTGGCGCACCGAGGTGGCGGAGCTGTTTGCCACCGCTATTGATGCGCTGACCGGGACGCTCATCGCGCGTCTATCGGCCGGCGCACAGCCTCCGGCCGAGGTCAAATCAATCGGGGCGTCAGCAAATTTGAACAAGGCACCGGCTCGACGGAAAGTTAATGACGCAGGCAGCCAGCCGGGATGAAAACACAGTGCTGCTCAATATTGCAGGCTGCTGACACAGAAGGGAAATAGATCACTCTGAGCTGACACCTATTTGCTTGCAGATTTTAATTTGGGCTTCTATAAAAAAGTAATTGATTTCAATTCGTATAACTGAGGTGGCGGACATAAAGGCTGCATAAATGCTGTTTTCTTTATGTTCAAGTGCTTCTGTAAAAGTTACTGTAAAAAACTTAAAGCGTAAAAACGTAAAAACTAACGTAATTCTCATTGAAGCACGGATAAGCATAGGCCACGCCTGTCCCCGCGCGGGCCAGCATGGAACAGTCCCCCATTGTTCCACTAATTGTTTGTCGAGCGACAGGCCATTTGGCAGGAAGCCTAAAGCCCCCCCCCCCTCCCCCGTCTCACGCAGGACGAAAGCTGTCTGTGACAGGGGAGGAGCGGACTTTCCGACGACGAAGTATTCCGAGCCAACTGGCCTAGCGCACACGACATGCTGATGCCCCTGAGCCTCCTTCGCAGCAAATAGTGGCGGAGAAGGCAGTTGAAGTAGTAATGTTGAACTCGTGGACTGCCAGATACAGGTGGACCTCGTGCCAAAACCGACATTTCTGGAAGAGAGCTTAGATAATTCACCGACGCAGTGCGTCGCTTAAAGGGACTATCCCACCTTCTAAAATGTTGTTAAAACCAGTTAAATTGTGCCCGACTTTATAGATTGGATGACCAGGAACACGGTTCTGGCATTTATTTTTCATTAAACATCTTAGGCTTCCAATATTCCAAACACAAACTTTCAAATATGTGACGTCACAGCCCAAAATTACCTCCTTCCCCAGGCCACATTACTGTCATAAAGCTGATTCTTTTTACTCTGTAGGCACCACAACAAAGTTCAGACCAAGTTTTAAGCGATTTTTCAACGGACAAACCCATTTAAATCAGAATGACTAAACGAGGTGACGTCACACTAACGGTCGCTCCATGTTGAAGATAGGGCCTTGTACAAGGCCCATTTTCAAATGAAGGGAACGAATTTCTTCAACACCAAGAGGCCGCGGGGGTTCCAACCTAGATAGATAGTGGTTTCTGAACCTCGCCGCAAACTTGGCTATCTCAACTCAAACCCCATGTTAAAGGTGAGATAGTCCCTTTAAGCCGGAGTAGGGCCTAGTGGTGCACTAGTAAGCCAATAGTCTTGCAATCCAGCTCTGCCAACCATCTCCATAGGAATGCAAATTAAAAAATATTTGGTAGACAGCAGCAAAAAAGATAAAAGCAAATAACAGCTTCAAACGAAAACAGGATGCCGATGAAAGCAGGGAAAAAGGGGAATCGAATGGGAAGCAAAAAAGTGGACAAAGGACTTGTCATTTTCAGTGGACAGGCTGTTATTGAGGATCGCTGTGGTCGCTATGAGGACTGAGCTGTGAGAGGTTGTTGGACTGTGAGAAGTGTCCAACTACCGTCACGGCCCCACTCCTCAATTTCACCGTTGCCACCGCCGCAGCCGCCGACAGGATATCAAAGCGGTCTTAGACTCTCAGAGCAGCCCTGATCTCCCTGCCGAGCGGTCGCAGCCCCACACAAATGTGTTGAGGCTCGCGAGTTCCAATAAAACGTGCTGAATTGACGCTGAATAGCGGATTCGACTTCCCAGATCTAACAGAGCTGAGCGGGGAGAGAGCGGGGACGATATTTGACGTAACAGAGGTCCATCATCGCGCTCGTGACGATGAGAGATTGGTAATTCATAGTGTTAGAAGAGCATCTGTCGAGATGCAGAAGTAAAGCGCTGCCAATGAAAGCAAGACAAAAAATGGGCTACAGCAACAGGATTAATATCAATCAACCAATGGCAGAATACCACATTTCTTGGCAGCTACGTGACAGCTAATCCGGGTTTAGCTATTTCACACCATAATTTGGTCAATATCCCTGTGCTCAATTTCCTTGTGCCCCGGCATAAGGAGCTTCAAGCGCACAATTGTCTCGGCTCATTGTTCTTTAGTCGCAAGAGATCGGAGCAGACTTTATTTCCTGTTGGTGGGACCAAGACGGAATATTGACAAGTTCATATGTGGGGGCAGCGCAGATGCTGGCTATTTACATACATATCAAGCTTTGCAAAGCTTTTCTCCCGGCCTTTCATATTCAAATGACTCAATAAACTGAAATCAATCACGGACAAGCTCTGAAAGCAGAGAAGCATTTCATTCAGAGCCAAGGCAATACATGGTACAAGCGACCTGTCGAAAGAGCCATGGCCCATGCTTGATCTTTACTTCATGCAAACATGTGGGGATGCTTTCTCGTGTAATGTGGTAGCTACTTCAGCAACAATAATGGAAAAATAAGCCAAGTAAAAGTGAACACGGGTGCTACAATATGTCATTAGAAGATTCGCGGCTTAAAATATCCATTTCAATGCCGAGTTATGTTTCTAGATGAGGCTTTTCCACTGCACAGATGTGATATGACCATCACCATTTCATTATATGAGGAGTTTGTGGTGGTTGAAAACGTACGTGTGTAAACGCACGGCGCTCATTCGTGGCTACGTGCATCTGTACTCCAATGACAATAATAAGCCTGTGACATTGCAATCAGTCAATTTCAATTTTGCTATCGAATATACCAGAGGTAATTATGACATGGAAATGAGTCTTTACTAGAAGTTTGAAATCCAAACAGACAGGATGAATCCATTAGCCATGGTGAGTGGCCTTTCAACACTGCATTTTAAGTAGCCGAAAATCCATCACCAAAATTACGGCACCGTGAGCAGTGAGCGCACTTTGGAAGCAAGAAACACTCTCATCGAGACCCATGTCGAGGTACAGCGTTTCTGCCGGAGATACAGCTTGACAACACATGCATCACAATTTGAAATACACACGCAGTAA